TTTATGGCCTTCACACGCGTTACAGTATGCTCCTATTCTTTTTATGCTCAGCTACTAAGATTTCCCTTCAGTGGTAAAATTCAATATCTACAACGGGCACAGCAAAGACGTTCACTATAAGTCTTTCTACGACAGACCAACGGACCACGAGTGCCCCTGTCGGTCAACCAATCACGTACCGCGGTACCGAGCGTCATCTTGCGTCACAATGCGCGATGCCACCTGCGGTACGTGTCTGTAACGCGCACTTTGAATGGCTGCATCTGTATGTGGTTCCTAATGCCCCAGTATAGTGATGGGGACACTATACTGTAAAAAGGTCCCATCTTTAAAAATCCCAGGGCATTTCTCAAAAAGAGCAGGGGTCTAACCCTGGCGTTCTGGCCAAATTTCCCATTGGCCCTTACCAATCATGGCCTCCTAATAATCCCCATCTCTGAATTGGCTTCATTACTCTGTTCCCCCCCGATAGCTGATGTGGGGTGAGCGTTCTGGCGCACTATGGCTGCCATCGCATCATCCAGGTGGATGCTGCACATTGATGGTGGTGGAAGGGATCCCCATTACCTGTAAAGTGCTTTGAGTGGAGTGGCCAGAAAAGCACTATATAAGTGTTACAATTATCATTATTGATTGATCCAGATTCAAAAATATTCTGGGCCTTAGATTTTTAAGTATCACCTCATAAAACATACTTTACCATGCAATCTGTGGGGTAATCCCTTTGGATATACATTTAGAGCAGAAAAGCTGAATATGTTGGAGTTCGAAACAAAATTACAAAAATATATCTTCTCCAATGATGCACTTGCTATATATGATATGCTTTTTGGATGAAGTTTCTAACTCTCCCTTTATATAATCCCTGACATCACTGAGGCCATAAATTTCCACATTTATTTTTTTACTTTCAGAATTCTGTTGTCATCTATAGGATTTAATCATTTTCTCTCCGTCTTCCTTTAATGGTTTCTTCATATTTTTATTAGTAACTTTTATGACTTGTGTAAACAATTATGGAAATCTTTAATAATATACCTCTACACACATTTGGTGAGATCTCATATTCCAAATTCTTAAGCCTGACATGCACATTGAACAGAGCAACACTATAGCTATAGTGCATTATAGTTTAGCCTGCTACACCTGGTAAGAAAACATATTTGTTAATTTGTACTACAGTTCCTGTTTTTTACACCTGAATTAAAAGTTAATGTGTGAAAGAAACAGTAATAAAGTTAAAGTGTTTGAAATATATTTTTAATGTTGTCAAAACACAAGTAGTGTGAACATGTAAAAAAGTTGGTTTACTATTTCTATATCATAGTTAACTCACCAGTCACATTGCTAATTCCATGCAACACATAATTTTCCACTTCTCCAATAATGACTGAGTCAACAACAATTTTGGAATCAATTAGTTTGACAGCAGTTTGCACTGGGTTGCTTGAGGAACTAAAAAATAGAAAGAAAATATATTGTGAGAATTGCAAGGCTATCACAGTGTGAAGGCATGCAAAATGGTAGTGTGATCACAAAAAATGGCTTCTAGCTAAGTTTCATAGTTCAAAGACATATAGCTATAAAATATTAAAGATATATAAAGAGATATAAGACCTATGAAGGAAATGTAAGGACTGGATATTGTTTCATATTTAAGAATTCAATAATTCCATTGCTGAAATTAGCTAATGAGAATAAAAGTATACCTTAGTTAATATATTTGCATTAACTGACTTGGTTGATGAAGTAATAGATTTACTTGAAAATCACTACTGTCACGTTCCCCCCTCATATACAATATAAAGAATAATCCACAGAGAAAATGCTTCTATGTTGAAGCTAGGGTGGAGGGAGTAGATATGCATAGAGCTATGTGGAGCCAGGGAATAAGTAATCTACAGTACGTTTTCTTTTCAAACAAGAACAGATATGTGAAATTCAAAATAAGGTCTGGTGATTTGTCCAATTAAAGATAATAAAAACAACAATAACAATAAGTCACTCTGGGTCAATTGCAACAAACTTCCCGAGTTAGTACACAGCTGCGTACTAAGTTGCAGTTTAGTTAGTACGGTAGTTTCTGGAGATCATGTTTAGCTCTGAGTTCAATTACAGCGAAAAAATGTGCGGAACAAAGTTGGAGTTGTGCTTAACGTGCTTAATCCGGTTCCCAGGGCTCGGCGTTGTTGCTGTACTAATTAGCACAAAGTGCAGGGGACTGTGCATCGGAGCATTTCAATTAATTTGATTAGTGGGTTAATATGTAGGCCATGTTAATAAACAATTATTACTTTGTCTGTTTCTTGTTTATATTTAAAGTAAATTTCCTGACAAATTAATGTTAGTTTTCAATTTAAGAACTGCATTTAGGCTACAATTTACCAAATGAGGGTACGTAGTTATTAATGAGATACTCAATTGTTATTAGTCACGAAACAAATGAGAACCACAGCTGCGCATTTGAAACAGAATGCTACTGTATTATCACGGCTTTAATTTCCTTTGTTTAACGAGACACTCCGGATGAACAAGCGAACACATCGCTATTGCTAAATCGTTACAAAAGACACCAACTAATGACCAGTAAAGTTAACAGTTTTATTTTTAGCAGAACTGGAAATTAAACTTATAAAATTACTTGAGCAAAAAAAGAAATGTTTATTGTTCCTCTGACCTTCTTAGCATTTCTATTTTTTAAGGTTATACATTTCTTTAGCATGGTGTGCCTTTTGCTTACTTTTGAGAACTTCCATTTTCTCTTGAAATAACGTTTTCACTCCTCCTGTGTCAGTAAGAGCTTATGTTTCAAATTAAGTTATTTTATAGTCAGTTCCAACATCTTCCTTTCAAAGTGGGGAAGAGCCTGCTGGTGTGTTGCTCTGCTAAATTGTGTTTGCTGATCTTCTCCCTCTGTCTGGCTGTCAGGATCTTCTGCACCACTCTCCTCCACATCACCACTCTTCACTCCACTGCACCGGCTTACATGAGTGTCCAGCCAGAGGGACATTCACTGTCAGAGTCAGTCTCGTCTTGTGGCTGCAGAGAATGTCCTTTCTGTTGGGATGTTATATCTGAAATGTGTTCTACATTTGAGATAGTCGATGATGTTGCAATATGTACAGAGAAGGGACAGTGTTCCGAAAAACTATCATAAATAATCACTTTTAAGTAGACGAGTTATTTTCTTTAACGTATGCTTGCATTTGCCTACAGATATTACTCTCTGTACCCAGAGGTGGGTTAACGAACAGGCTAGCATAGGCTGTAGCCTAGGGGCCCTGATTGGCCAGTTATTTTTTAAACGGACCTGTGGGCCTGATCAGGGGCCCCTGATTGGCTGGGTTATTTTTTTTAAATGGACCTGTAGACCCCTGATGCAATGGGTTCACAGTTCAAATTTATCTTGGTGGATTCATCGGGTGATCTCTGGTGCAAGTTTATGGTAGCCTCAAAATGTGTGATAGAAAATATGATAGTGGGTCACAAAAATGAAAAGCACGGTGGTTAAAAGAGCAGTGTGAACAGGATCTACTTAAAAAGATCCCCAGATTGACTGGTTATTTCAAGTTTGCCAGACCCAGATCCTGAGTTTATGGCTAATGTTGCAGCCAGTGCTACAACAACTGCAGTTGAAAAGTTATTTGCAGCTAGCTCAAGCCTGGGGGCAGTCTATATCAACGCCGCTCATGAGGAGGAGCCAGCTCCCGCAACGGAATCAAAGGAACACAAGTCAGAGGTAGAGCCACCTGAAACGCCACCACCATCTGCTGCAATGGCTGTTGCACCTACTGCCATGGAGCTAACAGCTCCCGCTTCCTATAGCTCGGACTCAGCATGGTGGGGTAATATAGATGAACAGATGCGGGCATACTGGGCTAGAGTTGGTAGCGTTTCAGATGGCTCTGCCTCTATCTCCACAAGACCAACAAGCCATGTCCGAGCCACTGCCATGGCTGTTGCACCTGCCGCCCTGGAGCTAACAGAGTCAGCAACAGCAGCTCCTGCTTCCTATTGTCACTAATGAGGAGGTATGGATCCTGTGCAGCCGCAGGAGTAGGTCATGGCAGCAACCAAACCGAATCGAGAGGCGAGATCATGGTCAATGAGAGGAAGGAAGGTAGAAATCCAGGTCAGACACAGGTGGCAAACAATCCAAATCGAGGGGCGAGGTACGTAGTCAAAAGGCAAAAGGGGTAGTCCAAAATCCTGAGTGACACAATGTTTAAGAATTTCCAGGTAGAGCTCTCAGAGAGTTAACTCAATACCGAGAAGCGTTAAGTGGGTTAAGATGGTTTAAATAGTGCTGCTTGCTTGTTATTATTATTAACCTGCTGCTGGTACTGGTTAGCTCTTTTGCGAGATGATCTCCGTTGGCTGGTGGTCGTGACACCTATAGCGCAGACCCAGCATAAATGAACAGATGTGGGCATACTGGGCTAAATTGGTCCCGAACTCCTGTCAAAACCAAGATGCGGAGGTTGCAGCATCGGAAAGACAACATAAACACCAAAAGAGGTATTTCTCTAAAACCCTCTTCAGAAGAAAATTCAGAAATGTCGAGTGTGTGTCAAGAGGATGGCTGCTGTATTCCCCTTTGAAAGATGCAGTGTTTAGTTTCGCATGTAAACTATTTGGGGACAGTGGTGATCAGTCCGGACTGACCATAGGCTATAGTGACTGGAAAAATGCAGCCGCATGCTTGGCTGAACACGAAGTGTCGGAGAGCCATAGAAAGGCTATGGTTGCATATGTGCTGATAATGGTCTAATAGATTCAGAACTAAAAAGACAGTTTGACAATGAATATGAATATTGGACTAACATCTTGAAAAGGGTGGTTGTAGTGTTGAAGTTTTTAGCAGAGTGAGGGCTGCCTTTTAGGGGACACAGAGAAACATTCGGGCGCCCCGACAACAGGAATTTCACAGGTGTTCTCGAAGTTATCAGCGAGTTTGATCCCTTCTTGAAAGTCCATATAGAAAAATATCTAACCTTCGATGCAGTGTATTTGAGTCTATTGACTACAATGGACTTGCAAGAGTGGGGAGTGTCCTGCTGTTCTTGAAATAATGCGTTCAAACAGGGTGGTCATTAGTCTCTGCTGTGCTGATCTTGTTGTGTATCGTCGGTTTCAAAGTAAGCGTGTTCATGATTTCAGTTGTCAGCTAGCAGATTGGCTGTGAATCTGATTTATTGGTTGCATTGCTGTACTTACATTACAGGCTTTTGTAGTGCGTGTGTGTGTATTTGGGCTCCCTGTGTACATGCGTGTAAATTCTGTTTGAAACGGCGGTAGCAGCTCTTACTCCAAACGCGTCACTGAATTAATATTACAGTATTTCCTCTCGCTTTATTTCTGGTAGGATGGGGGGGGGGGGGCTACACAACGTGTAGCCTAGGAGCCTCTGATTACCTTAATCTGCCACTGTCTGTACCATCCATTTCCTCATTATCCCTGCTTTCCTCTGATAACCACAATAAAATATTTAACAAATCTATTCAGTTGACTCACAGATTTTAAAGAACACATTAAAGGCTCATCCTCCATTTATAGTACTATTTGCTTAAGTTCTGTTCTCTTCATTCTTTAGGCTATCTTAAAATTCACAGTTAGTAATAGTGATTGACATTAAATGTAATTATTAGTAAATGACACTTTTGTTAATACACACATATTAATATTCTTTGTTATTAATAAATGTGGTATGAGTGTTAAGTAATTTGAGTTAAATATTACAATAATTTTCCAAGCGACGCATAAATTCAGTACGTAGCGCATTAAGATGAGCAGATGCTTATCACTGCAATTAGTCTTTAGATGTTGTTGATTTGGCCAATTTGCTCATTTATGTTAGATATGAGTGTGAGGGTATGTCCCATGAGGACTTTCTGTTCTGTAAGCCGCTACCAACAAGAACTACAGGGGAGAACATATTTCAGCTTCTGAATGAATTTATCTTAAAAAAATGGCATCGACTGGATAAAATGCGTCGGAGATTGTACAGACGGTGCTAGAGCGATGACAAGCAGACACAGCAGTGTAGTTGCACGAATTAGCGAGGTTCTCCAGATATGAAGTGGACGCCCTGCAGCATCCACTGATTGGCCTTGGCCGTCAAGAAAATGCCCGAGGATTTAAAATCTGTCACAAATCTGTTGTGAATTGTATCAAGGTTAGTTTGCTCGACTAAACAGTCTCACCCCTCTTACTGAAATGGTGCTTTTTTATTGTTTATTTTTAATTGTTGTCGTTCCTGTTGTCATTCTGTAAAGCGCTTTGAGAAGCCACCTTTAAAGGTGCTATCTCAAATAAAGTTTATTATTATTATAATATTTATTATATGTGTGTGTCTGTGTAAGCACGCGTGTGCTCATGTTGGTCATTAAGATTTTCTGTGATTCCTGAGAAGATGACTTGTAGGTGGTACTTTGGTTTGATCAGGGTCCAAAAAGTTTGAGAACCACTGGGTTAAACCATATGAAGAGGTGGTTTAAGTTAATCCGCTACTTTAGTCACCTCTAGAGGGCAGCAGCTGTTACTTTGTGTTTGTTGCAATTGAGAACAGGGTTAGTATGGTGGTGCGGACTAAGCACAGCGGTAAAGTTTGTTGCAATTGGTCTTAAGGGGGAGCACAAGTTTAAACCACAGCTGCGTTCTAAGCACGTAGGTTGCAATTGACCCTCCGCGTCTAATTTAAGGCTTATGACAACAAAACAAAATTATTTTTTGTTTGCTACTTGCATAACAGTATAAATCTGAATTTCATTTAAAAGTAAAGATTTGGTTTTTGTTTCAATAAGTAAAACATTTTTAGTTATATGTAAAGGGCAGTTGACCTCATCAGAGATTTAAAAGAGATTTATTTATATACTTACAAAACAGAAATAAATATAGAAATAAAATATACTTTTTTTACCCAACATCATTTCCATCAGTGAGACATAGAATTCGAAGGCTGCATTCAGGAAATTGTTGTTTAATCCCCTTGAGTTCCTTGATGCTGTAATCCAAAGCATCATATAGTTTTGTACATCCTTTTGCCTCAAGATTATCTATGTATTCCTACAATACATAACATAACATGTTTTGAGAACATTTTTAATAAAAACAGTTAATAGTACTGTATTCAATATTTAAATATAAAATATATTTTTTGTTCTATGAATGTTTTAATTGAAGTCTTCATATATTCATACAGTTAATTATGTACAGTAGCATGCCTTCGTGCATAATATGTAATGTCAGCATTTAGGAAGCTTTGTACACTTAAAGTTGTGTTACTAATATTTTTGCTGAAACACCTAATCCACTGCACCTTACAAAATGTAAATTAACATGGTGTAAATACAGTTGCAAGAAAACGTTTGTGAACCCTTTGGAATTACCTGGATTTCTGCATTAATTACTCATAAAAATGTGGTCTGATCTTCAACTAAGTCACAATAATAGACAAACACAATCTGCTTAAACTAATAACACACAAACAATTGTATTTCTGCTTGTCGGTACTGAACACATTGTTTAAACATTCACAATCTAGGCTGGAAAAAGTATGTAAAAAGGCTAATGGCTTCTCCAAAAGCTAATTCAAGTCAGGTGTTTCAATCAATGAGATGAGATTGGAGGTGTGGGCTGGAGGTGCCTTCCCCTACAAAAAAGGCACACAAAGTCTGGTTACTGACAGAGTCTGCTCTTCTCAAGAAAGAGCTGTTCATATGAACCATGCCCTGATCAAAAGAAATATTAGAGGACCTTAGAAGAAGAATTGTAGAGATGCATAAAGCTGGAAAAGGCTACATAAGCATTTCTAAAGGCCTAGGTGTTCATCAGTCCACAATAAGACAAATTGTCTACAAATGGAGGAAATTCAGTACTGTTGCTACTCTCCCTAGAAGTGGGTGTTCTGCAAAGATCACGGCAAGAGTGCAGTGTGCAATGCTGAAGGATGTGAAAAAGAACCCTAGGGTAACCACAAAGGACCTGTAGAAATCTCTTGAACTTGCCAAAGTCTCTGTTCATGTGTCAACTATTAGAAAAACACTTAACAAGAATGGTGTTGATGGAAGGACACCACGGGGGAAACCACTGTTCTCCAAAAAACATTGCTGCATGTCTGAAGTTTGCAAAAGACCACCTGGATGTTTCACAATGCTTCTGGGAAAATGTTCTGTGGACGTATGAGACAAAAGTTGAACTCTTTAGCAGAAATAACCATGCTATGTTTGTAGGAAAAAAAACACTGCACACCAATACCAAAACCTCATCCCAACCGTGAAGCATGGTTTGAGGCTGCTTTGCTGCCTCAGGGCCTGGACAGCTTGCTATCATAGAGACAAGAATGAATTTGAAATTGTATCAAGACATTTTACAGGAGAATGTTAGGGTAGTGGTCCGTCACCTGAAGCTTAGTAGAAGTTGGGAAATGCAATAAAACAAATACATGAAATGCAGGAGTAAATCAACAACAGACTGGTTTAAACAGAAGAAAATCTGTGTTCTGGAATGGCAAGGTCAGACTCCAGGCCTCAACTTGAGGGAATTTACTAAAGGTTTGTATTATATCTTGTTGACTATGTACCTTTATACTTATATTTTACTAAATCCAACTCAGGATATCTGGTCTCAAAAGACAACATAGTCACATGATGTCATTACGCACAGCTGACATAGTTCTCAGGGAAATGACCGAGTGACCTCTCCTGGAACAAAGGGTCAATTCAGCAGAAGGGGCTGCTTGTCACGCAAGCTGGCAGTAAAGAATGTCTATGTACTGGTCAGCTTTTTAGAATTACCATAAATAGCCATAAGGCAAAAAGAGAGTCACGTGGGAGTGTATCTTGTATTGTTTGTTCACTATTTAAAAGAGTACTGTAAATGTTGTTTTTTAAGTCTTGTGGCACATAATGCAAGACTTCAATATGCATATGAAATAAAGAAGACTTTCAACACAAAAACTCTTAGGTGAAGGCCTTTTTTCTGGCACAACAATTGAGATGCTGTAGCAAGACCTGAAGCGAGCTGTTCACACAAGGAATCCCAGAAATAGCAATGAACTGAAACAGTTTTGTAAGGAGGAATACTCTAAAATTCTTCCTAACTGTTGTGCAAGTCTCATCAGCAGCTGCAGGAAACGTTTGGTGGAGGTTATTGCTGCTAAAGGAAGTTCTACCAGTTACTTAGTACAAGGGTTCACATACTTTTTCCAGCCTGGACTGTGAATGTTTAAAGGATGTGTTCAATATTGACAAGAAGAGCTACAATTGTTTGTGTGTTATTAGTTTAAGCAGATTGTGTTTGTCTAGTATTTTGCTGACCCTGTGCTCTGACCCCAAGCTTCTCTCCCTGTCTGTGTGTCTGTGTCTCATGGAGAGCAAGCTGCGGTATGTGAAAAGACAAATTCTTAATGCAAGAAATTGTATAGGGCTAATAAAGCAACATTATCCAGGTAATTCCAAAGGGTTCACAAACTTTCTTGCAACTGTATATAACATTCAAAATGTATTAGACAAAAAGTTCAAATACATTTTCCAAGAAACAAAATATTGAGGCAGAGACAGGGTTAGAAGTGAATCATCTCTTTAGTGGAGAACAGTACAAAAATGTATGTTATTGGTTATTAACCAATAACATAAAGGTATGATTCATGAATCAATGAAAAAATCAATGGGAAAGAATGTGCTTGTAACAATTTACATGCATTGGTACCTCAATGGTATTTTATTATTTTTTAAACAATCTGATGCAGGACTGCACTAATTTGTGAAACTCCCAGTTGGCATAGTGAATCTTAAATGTCCTTTGTCTAACATACAGTAAATAGTTTTGCATTAGTCATACTGTAACACTGGCCTAAGGTTCATGTACAATGAGAACAAGTTGTAATGTACTTGTTTTGTTTTAAATTATCTTTTTATAAACAGTAGTGATAAAATGAAGCCTCTGGTCCTTCACTAGGTTCAAACAGAGAGCTTATTTGTGCAATTAAGCAGAAGTGTGACAATTTGACCTCCACCCAAACTTCTGTTCAGTAACAATATATATATTCACATATTTTGGGGGGAGTGACTACAAATATAGTCACTATATAGATTGTAAATATTAGGGAATAAAGAATTTACAAATATCAACAGAGAGTTGTACTTCTTCCCAAAGTAGGCACAGACCTGTGATAGATAAGACTTTATTGATCCTGAAAGGAAATTGATATGTTACAGCAGTCCAGCCCAAGACAAGCAAAAACAGACATCAGAATAGATTAAAAGTTATACAAAATAAATAAATAAAAATAAATAAATACACAGATGTGTGCAAAATGTGCTGATCATAGTCACTGTAAAAACAATAAAATATGTGCAAAATGTGCATAGGTTTATACAGACTGATTGTCCAAAAAGAACAATGGAGTAAACATGCTGTCCATAGAGGAGCAAATGAAGGGCTAACAGTCCTAGCCTAGGGCAGCGTTATACACCCTGACAGCCGCTGGGAGGAAAGACCTGCGGAAACGTTCCCTTGAACACTGTAGCTGGAGTAGTCTATTGCTAAAAGTGCTCCACTGCCCAGTAACAGTCCCATGAAGCGGATGAGAGGTGTTGTTCATGATGGCTGTGAGCTTGGTTAGCATTCTCCTCTCAGCCACCACCTCCAGGGGGTCAAGGCTCAACCCCACCACAGAGCCAGCCTTCTTGATGAGTTTATTGAGCCTATGTGCGTCTTTAGTCATGATGCTGCTGCCCCAGCACACAACAGCGTAGAAGATGGCCGCTGCCACCACTGATTCATAAAAAATGTGTAGCAGTGTTCCCCACACACCAAAGGACCTGAGTCTCCTTAGAAAATAGAGTTGGCTCTGACCTTTCTTGTACAGGGTGTCAGTGTTACCAGACCACTCCAGCTTATCATCCAGGTGTACCCCTAAGTACTTGTAGGAATGTACGCCCTCTATGTCCTCACCCTGGATGGAAACAGGGTTCAGCGGAGACTTATTCCTTCGAAAGTCAAAGATAATTTCTTTGGTCTTGCTGGTGTTAAGCTGGAGATGGTTAAGATGACACCACTCCACAAAATTGATAATCAAGCTCCTATATTCCTCCTCCCTCCCCTTTCTAATACACCCCACAATTGCAGAGTCATCCGAAAACTTCTGCAGATGACATGTCTCAGAGTTGTACCTGAAGTCAGAGGTGTAAAAGGTGAAAAGGAATGGAGCAAGGACAGTCCCCTGTGGAGCCCCTGTACTGCTAACAATCTGTTCGAACACACAGCTCTGTAGCCGTACATACTGTGGCCTGCAGGTCAGATAGTCTATAATCCAGGACAGCAGGGGAGTGTCCACCTGCGCCGCCCTTAGCTTATCTCTCAGTAAAGGTGGATGGATGGTGTTAAAGGCACTGGAGAAGTCAAAGAACATAACTCTCACAATGCTCCCCGTCTTCTCCAGGTGAGAGTTAGCTCTGTGTAGCAGATAGATGACTGCTTCCTCCACTCCCAGGTGTGACTGGTAGGCGAACTGCAGGGGGTCCACTGCTGTACTCACCAGGGTTCTGAGTTGGTCCAGTACAAGCCTTTCCAGAGTTTTCATTAGGTGTGATGTAAGTGCCACTGGTCTGTAGTCATTCAAGACTTTAGGGTGCCCCTTTTTGGGTACTGGCACCAGGCAAGATGTCTTCCAGAGCATCGGAACCTTTTCTAATCTCAGGCTGAGGTTGAAGATGTACTGTAGCACTGAACCCAGTTGGTCCGCACAGATCTTTAGCACCCTGGAGCTGACACCGTCAGGACCCGCTGCCTTCCCTGCATATAGTTTCCTCAACTCCCTTCTGACCTGGTTAGCTGTGATGGATAGGCCGGGGAGGGCAGGGGAAGATGGATGAGGTTGAAGATGTACTGCAGCACTGAACCCAGTTGGTCCACACAGATCTTTAGCACCCTGGAGCTGACACCGTCAGGACCCGCTGCCTTCCCTGCATATAGTCTCCTCAACTCCCTTCTGACCTGGTTAGCTGTGATGGATAGGCCGGGGAGGGCAGGGGAAGATGGAGTAGGTGTAGGAGGGATCACAT